TCACATGGTTGAGGTCTGTGAATGTTTGTGAGTACTGGTATTTGCTTCCCCCTCCCCTCACAAGACTTCAAGAAGCAAGATGAAGCAAAGTATGTTTTAACATGTTTTAACTATGACTGGAACACTCTGGGAACACTGTGAAAGCTTCAACTAAACACCCCACTGGAATTAACAGTTTGATTTCTGTACACAAGTCCTCACATAAAATGTAACTTCACACAGTTGAGGGCTGTGAAAGGTTATCAATAATGATGTTTACTGTCTCCCAACCAGAATAAAGTTACATTTTAGCCAGCAAAGGATTATCGAAGAGAGTCAAAGAAAATAGTGTGCACGCTTGCAGGATCCTTTGTTCTGTGACGAGGATTTGATTGACACGGTTGATTTTGAGGAGTGCGACCAGGCTGATGAGAGCGTGGAGGCAGAGCTCGGTCTGCCCAGTTGCCCAGAAGAAGATCCTCACAAAGTGCTTCAAGTCTTAGAAGACCGGCAGGCTCTGATTCGTGAATTAGAGCAAGTGTTGGCTGAGGCTCCATCGGGGAACAATGGCCCAGCAGAAGACCCACCTGTGGAGAACCAACAGCACAAGCAAGGACGTGAGACTGAGCTGCCAAGCCAGGAAGCGCGTCCAATGACGGACAAGCCAGGAAAGAATTGCTTTGAGAAGATCCTGGCCGAAGTGCAGAGCAACCCATGTTTTCTTGAGGAACATGAAGCCTTTTCAGCGGGTTGTCTTCAACGACTTCGTGCCCTAGTGACCCCCGTCAAAAAGTTTGTGGACCAAGTGCGGATCGCAGAGAAGCTTCTGTCAGAAGCATAGTTGTTTGGTGACGTTGGGTCGTTGTGTGGTGTAGTGGTGTAGTCAGTGCCAGCGCTTGCTTAATCTTGTGAACTGTTCTGAACCCTTTTGAATCATTTTGAATCCGTTCGAATCATTTAGAATTTAGAATTGTGCTCACTTTTTTGGATGATTTTGCATGGTTTGAGGTCAAAGACGCAAATACAAGGCCTGCGGCCAAATGAGAACCAGTACAACGTGATGAAATCGCAGCTGTATCGGGCGCGGCAGTTCAACCGCTTCACTGCGGCTAGAACAGGCCGCATGTACAACTGGTTTGCGGCGCAACAAAGCCTAGTTGAGCGAGTGTCAGGTGATTCTGTTGAGGAGACAGATGAAGCCAACGCTATTTTGCCGTCAACGGTGTTCCGACCCATTTGTAGCAAAGATGTGCAGCTGCTGCTCATCAAAGAAGTTGTTGGAAGCATTGTGAAGTTCTCGGTTGCCTTGACCTTCAGCGTGTTCCGTGGAGCAGTAGCTCGCGATCAAACCGTGTGCAGAAAAATCCGGGTGAGCAAGAGCATGGGAATCAACTCGCCCGCTGAGGCAGTGTCAAGGATCTCGGTGATCTTCCTTGAGTGGGTTCCTCCGGTGAAAGTAGCTTGTACAAATTGTGGAAGGTTTGGATGATGTCAGCTGTTTTTTGTATATTTACCAGGCTACCGCCTGCAGCCGCCGACCCCCAAGGGATAGAACCTTAGCGCTAGCCTTGCTCTATGTTAGCCTTAGCCTTAAGCCTTAGCCTTAGCCTTAAGAGTGCAGACCCAACCCAGCACCACCAAAGCAGGTACCCAAAAAGTCGACTTTTTGGGTGCCTCCCAGATTTACCATCGGACGTCAGCTCTTGCATGAACCCCGATCATTGCCCAAGAATTTAGACCCAACCCTTCACCACCAAAGCAGGTACCCAAAAAGTCGACTTTTTGGGTACCTCCCAGGTTTACCATCGGACGTCACCTCTTGCATGAACCCCGTCATGCTGAACCCTCGTCCCCATAAAGGATATCATTGCCCAAGAATTTAGACCCAACCCAGCACCACCAAAGCAGGTACCCAAAAAGACAAAGCCTAGAGCATTCCTAGGAAAATGCCAGAAAAGCCTTTGAAAATCTCATAAACCAACAGAAAACGTGACAAAATCTACGAAAAAGCAAGGGCATTGGCCGGGACCATGCCGCGACCAGCCCGGGATTCGAGCCCAGGACCATTTTGGACCGTGCTTATTTTCCCGCGCGGGGTCGAGAGGGTGCCCCAAGATGTAAATCAATTGGGATGGCAGAATCTTGGACAATCCAGGTGCAGATCAGGTCGCTTTCCTGGAGAATTCCAACCGGATTTCGTCACTGCAACAAGGGTCCGGAGGGGTAGGGGAGGTAAGGTCTAGGTCTAAGGCTAAGGACTAGGTCTAAGGCTAAGGATAAGGCTAAGGCTTAAGTCTAAGGCTAAGGCTCAAGGCTAAGGCTAACATCGACAGTCACGCCTCACCCCACGGTGTGGGGTCGGCGGATTATACTATATTATACTATATTACACTATACTATACTATATGATATACACCTTAATACACCGCATAATACCGCATATTTACACCATTATACACCGTGATGTTATAGAAGTATAGTGAAATATACATCGTGCTGAGTGTTTCTGGATGTCCGTAAATGTAACTTACATTTTTTCAGGCTACAAGTACTATGTGTGATACTGCCTGAACATTGTAAGTTACATTTCGGTAAGGCAAAGTTTCTTTCCCTCTTTTCAGGGTTCTGACGATGCCACTGGCTTCTACACTGCTTCTCTCATGTCACGATGCCAGCTGATCACCCCGCAGAACGACGTGGTTTGTGAGCTCCCATATGAGCATTTGGGCGAGCGAAAGGGTAGGTGCTTCTTTTCGCTCTCTGAGAAGACGCTTGAGTTCCTGAGGCAGGTGAGGGAAGGCGACATCAACCCTCTCACGGTGTTTCTTTCGCAGGGCAAGGATGGCAATGGCAAGGATGGCAATGGCAAGGATGGCAATGAGAGCAAGGCGCTCACGGACGTCAAGCAGGGCAAGGAAACCGAGGCCAAGAAAACGGAAGAGGTTGGGTTCAGTATCATGGATTTTCCCCGTGGTGCAGTTGGCCAACGAAACTTGAAATCCTACTTCACCAAGCTCTCCGAGGTTTACCACAAGAGTGGCATCAAGCTGTTGCGAGATGGTGGATTGATCAAGGTGAACAAGTCGCTGCACTCCTGGGGGCCACTTACGGTGCAGTGCTCTTTGTACTTCGACATGATGGAGAGCAGTGAAAAGAAGGGGCATTCGCGGGCAGTGTTCTACCGAATAGAACAATTCCTGCCGTCCGGTAAGAAAACTGCCGAAGGCAGGGATACTGGGCACATGGCGCTACTCAGCTTTCTAGGGCAAGTCACTCAGGTGGTGCCACCAAACCTCATGAGTGGCTAGTGCCAGGGGAGTGCATTTCAAGGGAAATGCATTTTGCGACTGGCCATGAGGGAACTGGCCTGGATGGCAAAATGCCAGAACTTAGATGCGAAGAGCGCAGTCGAAGAAGAAAAGAACCTCACTGAGTCTTGTGTAATCTTGCGTAGTATTACCTTTGACCATCCTAGACCTGAAAAAATGTAACTTACATTTGTTACATATTTAGTTACATTTTCCCTGGAAAAATGTAACTTTCTAAGTTACATTTTTCATTAAAAGCCTAACAAATGTAAGTTACATTTTTCCAGGTATATGTAGAGGGCTAAATGAAAGTTACATTTTTTCAGGTCCCCCCCTGCTAAGGGGTGGGGATGTTACGGCTAGTTGTACGCAGTACACGGCTTGTCACGTAACGATCGATAAGTTGCGGCTCAGACCGCCCTGTTTGTGTTGGGACGGGGCCCAGCTGCGCCGCCATGGAAGCCAGAGAAGATCTGGCTTTGGTGTGTGGCCTGTCCGGCCTGACCGCCTGGGAGACAGAGGTCCTGGGGGCATCAGGCTGGACGGTCACGAGGCTCGCAACGCTGGAGGACTGCGATGAGGCAACGTTGAAGGCAGTCCTCTGGCAGGTCCAGCAGCGTGAGGAAGAGTTCTCCGTGGACAAGGAGAAGCTGGTCGAACTGGTGAGGAGGTCGGCGACGAGGGCAAGGACGGTGCATCAGACCGATGCGAAGCGAGGGTCGCAAGACCTATTGGATGCACATGTCTCGCACCAACGTGAACTTCGGCGCCGGACCTTTCACGAGATGCAGCGAGCTGACGCACAGTCCAAGATTGAGCTGGTTGGTACAGCCAAGAGGGCCAGATGGCCAACTAGGCTTAGCATGAAGCTCCACATAGCTTCGAGCGATGTGGGTCTGAGAGAGCTGGCAGAGAAGCAGGAGCGTGATCGGTGGGTGAAGGCAATTCGTGACATCGTCAAAGAGGCGAAGCTCCCCGTGGCACAGCGCTCCACCGAAGACGCCATGCTGATCCGTGTGGCCAAAGGAAGACGCGCGAACACTTTGAGAAAGCACGTCAAAACTTGGATGAAAGCTTCTCGCTGGCTCGATGCAACCTTTGGCATGCAATGGCCAGGTAGCCCGGAATGCTTCGCCGAGTTTCTTGAGGCGATGGTGGAGGAACCCTGCGCCAGGAGCTTTCCGGAGTCCGTCTACAAAGCCCTCATGTTCTTGGAGTACGCTGGCGAAGTGCCAGAAGCAGATCAGTTGTGTCGGGCACCGGCCATCAAGAATGCCTTGGAGGAAGCAAACCTGAGGCTGCAGTCCGTGGAGCTGAAGCCCTCGAGGAAGGCATTGGTCATCCCCGTGTCGATCGTGATCAGCTGGGAGTACCATGTCTGCAATGAGTCCAGGCCCAACTACCACAGGGTCTATGCCTGGTTCCGGCTGATTAAGCTCTGGTCGGGAATGAGGTTTGAGGGGTGTCCCCAACCGCACGCTGGAGCTGAGCGAGGCCTGCCTCAAAGGGGTGATACATCGTTCGAAGACCTCGGGGCCGGGCAAGCGTGTGGTGCTTCTCCCTTTCTACATCAGTCGGCAGGCTTGGATCATGGAGAAGGACTGGCTGGAGGTTGGTTGGAAGCTCTGGTCGTCGATGGGAACTAGCTCTGGGCTGGTCGCCCGAGACTTCATGCTGCCCTGGCCCGACAAGTCGTGCAATGGCTTCGTTCGAAAGGTGGTTGACTATCCTATTGCATCAACGATGTCGCAGGCCCTCTTCAACGAGATGCGC